AAAGGGTCGCCACAACATGAGGATCTGTATTAAAGGGTCGCCACAACATGAGGAACTGTATTAAAGGGTCGCCACAACATGAGGAACTGTATTAAAGGGTTGCCACATCATGAGGAACTGTATTAAAGGGTCGCCACAACATGAGGAACTGTATTAAAGGGTTGCCACATCATGAGGAACTGTATTAAAGGGTCGCCACAACATGAGGAACTGTATTAAAGGGTCGCCACAACATGAGGAACTGTATTAAAGGGTCGCCACAACATGAGGAACTGTATTAAAGGGTCGCCACAACATAAGGAACTGTATTAAAGGGTCGCCACAACATGAGGATCTGTATTAAAGGGTCGCCACAACATGAGGAACTGTATTAAAGGGTCGCCACAACATGAGGAACTGTATTAAAGGGTCGCCACAACATGAGGAACTGTATTAAAGGGTCGCCACAACATGAGGAACTGTATTAAAGGGTCGCCACAACACGAGGAACTGTATTAAATGGTCGCCGCATTAGGAAGGTTGAGAGCCACTGCACTACATGAAGACTTGGTTTTCTTCAGACGTATAGCTTCGTTTGCGTCTGAACTTCATCGCCAATTGGCTCGCCCGTAGACGACTTCGTCGCCAGTCTGGGAAGTATTTTGGTCTGGCTCCTTTGATCGTATCAACTATGCAAGAGTCCGTTTCAATCCTTTTGGTGGCGTGCAGTTCTAGCAATTTTATATGGCGCACATAACCTAGTCATAATTATAACCTAAAGTTCTCCTTTAGTGGACGCTGGCTGAAAGATTTTGTTGTTGTTGAGCAAACCACCTGCCTACCTCACCAGAGTGTCACGATGGCAGACACGTTTATAGGCATTGTTTTCCACTAACCCTTGTCTTCAGAAATGTGTAAAATTGTCAACGCTTTAATATTTCAGCTCTGTAGCTTTGTTCTTCTTCTTCTTCACGTTCCCCGGCTGTAAACTCCAGCGGAAAGTTCTTTGGTTCCAGAACCTAAGTGTTGCGTGCACATCTGTTTTACATATCCGACTTATTTGTATGCAGATTGTTGTTTCCTTGCCTCTCAGGCAGATGCACTCTGACTTTAAAGTAGCCCCCAGCAGTCGACTCTTACGACATGCTAGTTGGGAAGGCAGTTGGTCAGTTCTTCTTTTTCCTAAACTGGGGTCCCTCATGTGGCTTTGTTAGTCTAGATGCTTTTTATTTGTCGTTTCTTCAGTAACCTTGAGTTACATCTTGGTATCAGCGTGGCTGTGGCATCAAAAGGAATTACATAGGCACATGTCAAGCACTTGACGGTTAGCCTGCGACGTTGGTGGCCCGCCTGAAATGTGCAGGACTTGTTTCCTTGAGAAAGTCGTCTCTCTCTCTCATTCTCTCTCTCTCTCTCTCTCTCTCTCTCTCCTCTATAAAGATGTGCATATGTGCTCATTCCTTAATAGATATGCGCTTCTCTTTCTCTCTTTCTCTCTCTCTCTCTCTCTCTCTCTGTGTGTGTGTGTGTGTGTATGTTTGTGTTTGTTTGTGTGAGTGTATTTCTTTGTTAGTGTGTTTGGTAGTGAATACATATCGTATCTTCTCCGCCCCATCTCTCCCACGCTCTTCCCCTCGCTCTGCGATGTGTGTGTTTGCTTGTTTTGTATGTTATGCCCACGTAAATGATTGTATGCAAAGGGGCTGAACGGGGTGTAATGCGAGTGGGCTTACAGATGTGGATATATGTCCTGGCCTCAGCTTGCCAGCAGTACCCCACAGCCACCAGCCATCTGCCTCAGACCTGCCATCTTCCACTGACGACTGTAAACAAGCTAGACAGTAATCAGCTTAACGGCCCTCAGCATTTGCACCAGTATAGGTGTCGGAACCTGGAGGCTCAGGCATCCTGGAGCCTCCCTTCTCTCTCTCTCTCTCTCTCTCTCTCTCTCTCTCTCTCTCTCTCTCTCTCTCTCTCTCTCTCTCTCTCTCTCTCTCTCTCTCTCTCTCTCTCTCTCTCTCTCTCTCTATCTATCTCTCTCTTTCGCACTAAATAATTATGAGAGTTGAGAAAATATCCACTAAAAAATTTACAAAGAAGCCAAATAGCTTGCTAACCATGTAATCAAAGTTTCGCCTGAGTGTATCTGCCAGATAGGCAATGAACCAACAGTCTGCATATTAAGTCAAATCTGTTAAACGGATGTGCACGCAACATTTAGGTTGTGGAAGAAGACTAAACTCCAGAGGTGCATAAACAGCCAGAAGTTTTCCCGGAGTTTACAGCCTGCGAACTTGCAGAAGAAGAAGAAGAAGGGGAAGAAGAAGAAGAAGAAGAAGAAGAAAAAGAAGAAAAAGAAGAAGAAGAAGAAGAAGAAGAAGAAGAAGAGAAGAAGAAGAAGATAAAGAAGGCGAAGAATATATAATTTTAAGTAAGGCGAAGAATATATAATTTTAAGTAAGGCGAAGAATATATAATTTTAAGTAAGGCGAAGAATATATAATTTTAAGTAAGGCGAAGAATATATAATTTTAAGTATATTATTATATTTTTGCCCCCGAAGAAAAAAAAATTATTAGTCCCGCGCACTTAAATAGGCTTAACTCTTTGAGTCCCATGGTGTTTAGCATCACAGGCCCAGGTGGTAGTAAAGAGAGTAATAAAACTGGCGCATTGGGCTTCTAGGTAGGAACCTATGAACGTATGATGCGTTCCTTGGGACTCAAAGAGTTAAGCCCCCCCCCCCCCCCTTACAAAATGATACAGGGCCTGAGCCTCCCCAGAAATACCTTTGTAGTGGCGCCAGGATACCATCATCTGGCAGCCAACGGCCGCTTGATATTGAAGTCGTTAACGTCTGGATCTTGGTGCGAGCCAGGAAGAAGAATGGCAATAAAGACCAGCCTTTGTCGGCACCTGATTGAAGAATGACCATGGCCTCCCCTCATACGTTCAGAATTTAAACAGAATGAAACGGGAATACATTATCGACATACACAGGGGCTGAACAGGGCAGTATGGAAATGCCGGCGTAATTTGCCTCATGAACCATTTATATCTGCCATTTCCCTCACCACGGTGGCATCGGCGCTGGGGCACATAATGCGAAAACATAACTGTAAATTGTGAATGCATAAAAAATTAGGAGAGAGCCAGGAGACAAAAGCAAGCAAAGTGTGCGGAATATCGGCTGTTTGTTAAAGCCGAGGATGCTGTGTGCTGGCAATCGTTCCTCACGTTTCTTGCTCACTTGATCGATTTTCTGTTATTGATTTGTGGACGTGCTGTTCCTGAGTTCGTTTGCTGCTGTGTACGCAGGGAGATAGGACGAGGTGGTAGGCTTTAAGTTGTGTTTGAGATAGTTTCTTCTTCTTCTTCTTCTTCTTCTTCTTCTTCTTTTCTTCTTCTTCTTCTTCTTCTTCTTCTTCTTCTTCTTCTTCTTCGGCTTCTTTTTCTTCTTCCTTTCTTCTTCTTTCTTCTTCTTCTTCTTCTTCTTCTTCTTCTCTTCTTCTTCTTCTTCTTCTTCTTCTTCTTCTCTTCTTCTTCATTCTTCTTCTTCTTCGTCTTCTTACTTCTTCTCTTCTTCGTCTTCATTTTCTTCTTCTTCTTCTTTCTTCTTCTCTTCTTCTTCTCTTCTTCTTCTTCTTCTTCTCTTCTTCTTCTTCTTCTTCTTCTTCTTCTTCTTCTTCTTCTTCTACATGCTTCGTCTTCTTCTTTTCTTCTTTTCCTTCTTAGGCTTCTTCTTCTTTTTTCTTTCTTCTTCTTCTTCTTCTCGAGCGGCTTCTTCTTTCTTCCTCTTCTTCTTCTTTCTTCTTGCTTCGTCTTCTTCTTCTTCTTCTTCTTTCTTTCTTCTTCGCTTCTTCTTCTTCTTTCTTCTTCTTCTTCTTCTTCTTCTTTCTTCTTTCTTCTTCTTCTTCTTCTTCTTCTTCTTCTTCTTCGTCTTCATTTTCTTCTTCTTCTTCTTTTTCTTCTTCTTTTTCTTAGTATTTTTATTATCCATTAGTATTATTATTTGCTTTTTAACCGGCTGTACACTCTTGCTGAAAGTCCAAGGTGTAGCTCAACTACTGGGCTTCGGTCTTGTTCCAGGACTTGACTGTTACTTGCATATCCGTTTTGCAGATCAGGTTTTTAGGGCACAGACTGTTAGTTCGTCGGCTGTAGGGCAGATACGCTCCGATTCGATGGTTGTATCTGCGTCAGCTAGGCTGCCGGTTCGGAACTAGTTTCAAGGAGAACCACTGGGATTTACAGCAAGCCATTGACCCGTATGATCCCTGTTCGTTGGATACTGTCTGGTCTGGTTCAGCGTCTCCGCAACCCGTTTGTATTGGTAGATGGTTTATGAATTCCACGTATTGAGTAATTAAAAAACATATAGTAAGTGTCCTGGTACTAAAAGAGTTAAGCATTCGCAAGTCCTCGATCTACTGGTTTTGTATTGGTGGAGGGTGTATGAAGAAGTGGCTGTGTGAGTGGGTTAATGTAGAATACCTCATTCCATCACAAGTACTAGGTCGTCTAGGAAACAGTGAGGGAGTGAGGGCTCTCTTTCTGTTTATTTGTTTGCGATTTTACAATGAATTGTAGCTGTAGTGCATCTACTGCTGTTTTTGTGGACTCTTTATTTGGGAAGGCCCTGGTCTCTTTTATGGTGTGTGACTCTCGTAACATTGTCTGAAAGCCACAAAACGGGTCTTTTTCTAAACCTGCCACGCGTGAATGAAACCGCCATATGTCGAAAGGATTGCTTTGTAATCGTGGCTAAAGCAAAAAACCGAAAGGAAGGGATGTGATAGAGTGTATGTGCGAGAGAGAGAGAGAGAGAGAGAGAGAGAGAGAGAGAGAGAGAGAGAGAGAGAGAGAGAGAGGAGAGGAGAGAGAGAGAGAAGAGAGAGAGAGAGAGAGAGCCAGAAACAAGAAACAGCCTAGCGTGAACTTGTCAATCCGTAACTCTCTCACACGTGACAAATCTACTGGTCGGATTCCACCCGAACGCTGTATACTTCCACCCAAACGCTTTATACTTCCACCCGAACGCCGTATGCTTCCACCCGAACGCTGTATTCTTCCACCTGAACGCTGTATGCTTCCACCCGAACGCTTTGCTCCTTATGCTTCCATCCGAACTCAATCTTATGCTTCCACCCAAACGCCGCCGTATTCTTCCACCCGAACGCCGTATGCTTCCACCCGAACGCCGTATGCTTCCACCCGAACGCCGTATGCTTCCACCCGAACGCCGTATGCTTCCACCCTTTTCGCCGTATTTTTCTTCATGGCACCCCGAACGCCGTTGCTTCTTCTACCCGAACGCCGTATGCTTTCCAGCCGAACGCCGTATGCTTTTCCACCCGAACGCCGTATGCTTCCACCCGAACGCCGTATGCTTCCACCCGAACGTCGTATTTTTCCACCCGAACGCCGTATTCTTCTGAACCCGAACGCCGTGATGCTTCCACCCGAACGCCGTATGCTTCCACCCGAACGCCGTATGCTTCCACCCGAACGCCGTATGCTTCCACCCGAACCCCGTATGCTTCCACCCGAACGCCGTATCCTTATGCTTCCACCCGAGCGCCGTATACTTCCACCCGAACGCCGTATGCTTTCACCTGAACGCTGTATGCTTCCACCCGAACGCTGTATGCTTCTACCCGAACGCTGTATGCTTTCAATCGAACGCTGTATGCTTCCACTCGAACGCTGTATGCTTCCATCCGAACGCTATAAACTTCCGCCCGAACGCTGTATGCTTCCACTCGAACGCTGTATGCTTCCACCCGAATGCTGTATACTTCCAACCGAACGCTGTATACTTCCACCCGAACGCCGTATGCTTCCACCCGAACGCTGTATTCTTCCACCTGAACGCTGTATGCTTCCACCCGAACGCTATATGCTTCCATCCGAACGCCGTATGCTTCCACCCAAACGCTGTATTCTTCCACCCGAACGCCGTATGCTTCCACCCGAACGCCGTATGCTTCCACCCGAACGCCGTATGCTTCCACCCGAACGCCGTATGCTTCCACCCGAACGCCGTATGCTTTCACCCGAACGCCGTATGCTTCCACCCGAACGCCGTATGCTTCCACCCGAACGCCGTATGCTTCCACCCGAACGCCGTATGCTTCCACCCGAACGTCGTATGTTTCCACCCGAACGCCGTATGCTTCCACCCGAACGCCGTATGCTTCCACCCGAACGCCGTATGCATCCACCCGAACCCCGTATGCTTCCACCCGAACGCCGTATCCTTATGCTTCCACTCGAGCGCCGTATACTTCCACCCGAACGCCGTATGCTTTCACCTGAACGCTGTATGCTTCCACCCGAACGCTGTATGCTTCTACCCGAACGCTGTATGCTTTCAATCGAACGCTGTATGCTTCCACTCGAACGCTGTATGCTTCCATCCGAACGCTATAAACTTCCGCCCGAACGCTGTATGCTTCCACTCGAACGCTGTATGCTTCCACCCGAATGCTGTATACTTCCAACCGAACGCTGTATACTTCCACCCGAACGCTGTATACTTCCACCCGAACGCTGTATACTTCCACCCGAACGCTGTATGCTTCCACCCGAACGCCGTATGCTTTAAGTTGTGTTGTTGCCTTCTCAAAACGTCAAGATTCACCGAGGAACTGTATAAGAGAGCGAGGAACTGTATAAGAGAGCGGCCGCTTTGTGCAGTCAGTCAGCATCTAGTAGTAGTAACACGTGGGCCTCCTTTGTGACACTCTGCTTCTGCAGCACAGACAATGTCGGCCTAGGCTAGGTAGGTAGGTGCTTTCTTCCTCTTCATCTTCTTAAGCATTCGCAGTCTTTGAGGTTCATTGCTGCAGATTTCACCTGTATCCTTTCATCTCTCTGGCTGGCCTTCTCTTCTCCAGTTCTCTTCTTTGTCTTTCTTCTTTATTTACTTTCTCATCTTCCTTCTTCTTTTCTTCTTTCTTCTCTTCTGCTTTTCTTTTTCTTTTCTCTTCCTTCTTTTCTTCTGACGAAGAATCTTCCAAACGGAGTTATCTTCTACCTTTGGAAACACTAGAAAAAAAACATCAAAATGTCCTTCTCTTCTAGTCGCTCTTTCCTCTTCTTTCTTGAAGCTTCGATCTTTCTTCTTCTTTACTTCTCTTTCTATACTTCTTAATACCCATAGGAGCTTCCACATCTTCTCCTTGTTTATCTCAGATAGCATTTTAAGAGGTCTTTCTTCTCTGTTTCTTCTTTAGTGTGACATTTCTCCTTCTAACGTTCTGTCTTCTCAATTCTCTTCTTCTTCTCTACTTGGCTTGATTTCTTCTTCTCTTAGACTTTTCTTCTTTCTTCTCTTGGATTTCCTCTTCTTTCTATACTTTTACTTTTCTCTTGAAGAGGTCTGATCCTCTTTTCTTTCTATTTCAACTTTACTTCTTCTTTCTCTAATTCTATCCTTTTTCTTCTTCTTCTTTCTCTTTCTTAGTGCTCTTCTTGCTGATTTTGGCGTTCTCTTCTACGTTTCGGCCTTTTTTTCTTTTTCTTTCTTTTCTTTCGATTCTTTCTTTTTTCTTCTCTTCTTTTTTTTCATTCTTCTTTTTTCTTTCTCTTTCTTCCTTCTTCTTTCTCTTCCTTTCTTCTTGTCAATACTTTCTCTCTTACTTCTTCCTTCTCTGTTTCTTTCTTTCTCTTTCGTCTTCTTTCTTCTTATCTCTGCTTACTTCTTCTTTCCCCAGACTCTCTCTTCTCTCTTTCTGTCTTTCTATTCTTCTCTCTTTGATCTATTCGTCTTTTCTCGTCTTACTTCTCTTCGCTCTTGCTTCTTCTTCTCTATCTTCGTTGCTTCTCTCTCTTCTTCTCTTCTTCTCTAACTTCTATCTTCCTTTTGCTTGAAGCTCTTCTCGTTTTCTTCTTAGTCCTTTTCTTCTTTTCTCTTCGCTGCTTACGTCTTCTTCTCTTCTTCTTTCTTTCTCTTCTTTCTTCTTCTCGCTTTACTTCTTTCTTTCTCCTTCTCTCTTCCTTTCTTCTTCTATCTTGCATTTTTCTTCATTACTTTTCTTGCTCTTCTTCTTTCTTTTGCTGTCTTCTTTTTCTGATTCCGCTCTCCCTTCTCTCTTCCTTTTATCTCGCTTTCTTCTTTTCTTCTCTTCTTCTCTTCTTATCTCTCTTTCTCATCTTCTGTCTGTCTTTCTCTCTCTTCCTCTCTCCGTTCTTCTTTCTTTTTGTTTCTTTTCTTCTGTTAAGTCTTCTTTCTTGTCTTCTTTTCTTTTCTGAAGCCTGTTTCTTCTTTTCTTTCATTTCTTCTTTTGTTTCTTCTTCCTTCCTTTCTCTTTCTTCTTTCCTTTTTTCTTTCTCTTTCCTCTTCTCATTCTTTTGTGTTCTTCTTTCTAAGCTTTCTTCCTTTATTCTTCTTCTTCCTCTTTCTTTCTTTCTTTTCTTCTTCTTTCTCGTTGTAACCTTCTCTTCTTTCTTCCTCTTCTCTTCTTTTTGCTTTTTCTTCTCTCTTCTATTCTCTTCTTTTTTCTGTCTTTTTTCGTACTTTCTCTTCCTTTTCTCTTCTTCGTGACCCTTTCTCTCTTCTTCTTCTTCTTCTTTAGCTTATCTTCTTCTTGCTCTTTCTCTTCTCCTTTTCTTCTTTCTTCTTTCTTCTCATTCTTCACTTCCTTCTTCTTCTTTTCTTTTCTTCTTCTTTCTCTTCTCTCTCTTTTTCTTCTTCTTTCTTCTTCTCTTCTTCTTTCTTCTTTTTCTTCTTCCTTTCTTTTCTTTCTTTCTTCTTTCTCTCGTTCTCTGGTCTTCTCTTTCTTCTTTTCTCTCTTCTTAACTTTTCTTCTTCTCTGTCAGCGTTGAAGGTCATTTGTATTGTTGTGTTCGTGAACAACACGGTACTGCAACGGTCAAAGGTTTTATTCCTTTTCGTCGGGCAAAACATCCTATTTTCTAATAAACCCTCTTGATTTCGGGTTGTGTCGTGCTGTGTGTGTTGTTGTGTGTGTGACGATCAGAGAAGAATGGATAAGAAGAGGAAGTAAGAGAGAGAGAGAGAGAGAGAGAGAGAGTCGAGATCTTGTTGCTGCCTATTCTTGCGCACATCACAGACTCCCAGTTGAGTCCTGTAAGCCCAGTAGTACAGTCCAATCGCTGTTTGGTGTGCCAGCGGTTGTGGATGTCTGGTGGGGGGGGGTTGCGGGGAGTTTCCGCCACTTTTGGGTTTAAAAGGGACCACCTTAAAAGGGTGGTGGATAAGGGATTTGTGCGCCTATAAAAAGGGTTTTTGCTTGCAGGCCAATAAAAGTCCTAAAAGGGGCTTCTGCATGTTAAATGAAGAATCATACCCAACAGTGTTCTAAAACGGCGAACGAAGTGTCTCGGTCTACCGGCCAGCCAATGGGTACGCCGTTGCCGTGTGTTTTGAACCCGTAGCTAAGGAATTGTGCACCTGAACTAAACCTGCGCGTCGGACAGCGGGCATTTAGGTATCACAGACTATTTGCTTACTTTAAGATTTTTTCATTGTCTTCAGTGGGGTTGGAATCACGTGACTTGTCATGTGATAATATGACGTGCTATTTATAATGGGGCAGTCAATTTTGCTACACATCTGGCAGTTTAATGAAACCTTTAAATTAGGTTCGGGCGCACAGATGGGAGGTGCCTCGTTAGTGTGAGCCGCATGTGTTGTACAGTGTGGATGTAGATTCTCCTTGTGCGGATCTGTTTGAAAGACAGCTTACGTGAGTATATACCTATTTCCTCCTCCTCCTCCCCCCCTCCCCTCTTCATCTGCTTCATTTTCTTCTGCCCTACTCTTCTTTTCCTGAAATTCTCAAACAATTTAACATATCACTTTTGAAACATTTGAATTGCAACTCGGTGTCCCCCCCCCCCACCCCCAAAACATTTGTTTGTTAAAAACTGTGAAAATTTTTTCCTCTTCTTCTTTGTTTTGTTTCTCTTGTCACTTTTATTGGTTTTCTTTGTTTTGTTTTTTTTGGGGGGGGTCGCTTTTTGGGGTTTTTTTTTGTTTTTTTTTCTCTCATATTTTTGCCCGGGGGCCATAAATATGGGGTTTTTGGCCCAAAATTTTGGGTTTCTTTCTTTTTCAAAATGGTTTCTCGAGTACAATTTTTTTTTCGGGTGTCAAATTTTTGTTTTTTGGGGGGGGGTCCAATTATTGTTTTTTTTCGTCAACATATTTTTTTAAATGGGGGGGCAATTTTTTTTTGTTCCGGGTCGTAAACCCTATTTTTTTTTAAATCGAAATTTAAAATTTTTCGGGCGTCCCCCTTTTGGGTTCTTGATCAAAAAAGATTTTTTTTCTGTCCCCCCAACATTTTTTTTCTTAAATCAAAAGTTTTGTTTCGGGTCCCCAACATTTTGGTTCCTTGACAAAATTTAATTTTTTTCCCTGTCACAAAAATTTTTTTCTTAGCCCAAAATTTTTTGTTTTTTTCTGTCTTCAAACATTGTTTCTTACCACAATTTTTTCGGGCCAGCTAATGGTTTTTGTCAAAATTATTTTTTTTCTGTTCCCAAAACCATTTTTTTTGTAAAAATTGTTTTTTCTGCATAACTTTTGTTTTTTTTTTGTAAAAAATTTTTTATTTTTGTAAAATCAACAATAATTTGGTTTCCCTTTGATTCCCTTTAAATTTGGTTTCTGTGGGAAAAAAAATTTCCTTGATCACAATTTTTTTTTTGTTTTTTTTATCCAAAACATTGTTTCTTGATCACAAATATTTGTTTCTGTCGTCAACATATTGTTCCTTGATCACAATTATTTGTTTCTGGGGGCCCCAATTTTTCCTTGACAAAATTTATTTTTTTCCCTTTCGTCAACATTTTTTTCCTTGACACAATTATTTGTTTTTTTGTCGTAAACCCAAAATTGTTTCCTTGACCCAAAAAATTAAATTTGTTTCTGTCGAAACCAAATTTTTTCCCTTTGGTCCAAAAAATTTGTTTTTTTCGTCAACAAGTTTTTTGGGCCCAAATTATTTTTTTTCCCTGTCGTAAACCTGTTTTTTGGGTCACAATTTTTTGGTTTCTGTGGTAACATATTTTTTTTGGGGCAAATTTTTTTTTCCGTCGTCAAAAATTTTTTTTCTTGGCCCAAAATTTTTGTTTCTTTCGTCCCCCAATGGTTTTTGGTCCAATTTTTTTGGGTTTCTGTCGTCACAACTTAAAAGGGAATTTTTTAAAAAATTCTTGGCCCAAATTTTTTTTGGGTTTTCCCCCTAC